GTTAAAGAAAGTTAAATGGCTGACAAGGAATACACCATTCAGGTTTCAGTGGGTCAGCAGATCAGCAAATGCAATGGCTGATTCTTTGGCTAAGCAAGGGGTGTCAAGGGGAGATCTGTTTTGGGCCACTTTGTAACTATGTTTCAGGCTTGTGTTTGTTTAGTGTTTATGACTCAGTCCTAGGGGGWGGTAABACCTCGTGCCTCTTCCTAGGCTGAATGTACTACTATTTTTTGAATTAATAAAACTACTCTCATTTATCAAAAAAAAAAAAGAAAAATTGGGAGTTTTAGAACCATAGTTAGGGGCCAGGGTTGATCTAATTGTAGTTATTTACAAGTTCCCAAAAGTTCTAATTAATTGCCAAAAGGATTCCCTAATCCAATTTAGAAAGAGCTCTTAATTAGTTAGACTCCTATTCAACTTTCTCTTTGACTAGTCAGTCTAGTCAACTTTTAATAACATTAGAAGTCCTCCAACAAAAGCAACTAACAATTCTATAACCTTTGTAATTCTTTCAAGATAAGTGTGAAAAGGAAAAACTTATGTCACATGAGACCCATAATTTCTCAATTTGAATGAATTAAACCAATTCATGGGCGGGGTAGCCTAATATGCCTGGCTAGCTTTACCTGTTCATGGTCAGGCTTGGACAAGATTTGAGATCCACAAGCTCGAGCTTGGGCCTAAAACACTAAACTCGACTTTTCTTGGGCCGGACATGTGCTTTCTCAAAAAATCTATTTTATATATCTTTGTTGCTCTTATCATATTTTTCTTTGAGTTATAGTGAGATCTTTTAGTACTTTTAGGTTTTAAGACTGTTTAATATACATAAATAAATTTTCTTGTTGAATAAAAATAAAAAATTCTTCTTGCCCAATATATTGATTGAGCTTCGGGCTTAGGCTTAAAGATCTAGGTCTGTTGGTTAGGTTGAGCTTGGACTCGGGTCCGAGACATTATAGGGTTGGCCTAGCTGGCTCGTGTACAAGTCTAAAACCAACTTAGGCCACCTCCTCTCTAAGAGGAGATGAGACCCACCTAAGCCAATTTCACTCCCTTCACAAAAAGAAGTTGCCCCAAGTAATTGGGCTTTGAATGGGCCCATTATGTCTAACATAAATTGCCCAAGTCTACAACCCTAAGAAATTGGGCACAATGATCCAAATTAAAAAAAAATATCTATCAAGTAAAAGGGCCTAAATGAATATTTGCAATGTAGTCTTTTATCTATAATTAGTGCAGATGTAGAGTGAAAGTTTTTATGGACTAAAATTACCCTCTATTTCTTTGTTTGAGAAAGGGTATAAAAGTCATTTTTATTACAACTTTAATGCCAACTTAATAGCTACTAAAATGCCCATATTTGTGTATTTAATCCATCTCTAATTATAAGGGTTGAAAATTTAACTTCAATAATTACTTTCCACCTCATTTAATCCCCTCTCATTAAGTCTTTATAACTAAGCTATTAATTCCCATTTTCTCTTATTAAATCCTATATTTAAGTTATTTTTCACTAATAAATGCTACTAATTAGATCTATGTCAATATTTTTAATATACAAACCCATATATTTTAAAACGACTCCAAAACAAAAACATTCTTTACCCAAGTGGTGGCTAAGCAATTCAACCATTTGAATTAAATTGATCAACCTATGAAGTCATAGTTAGGTAATAAAATTTTTATAAATAAATATAGATAATTATAAAAATGTAAAAATAATTAGACATTTATGATGTTTTTATTAATCAAATTAAAAAATAAGTGTAAACAAGAATTATTTTTATTGATAATGAAAATGCAATACATAATTTAGAACTGACCAAAAATGAAATTATTTTACTATTTGGTAAAGATCAATAGTTCAACTTTTGGGTCAATTTGTTATTAAACTTTTAATGTCATAAATAAATAGTAAAGCTTAATAAAATATAAAATACATAAATTTTGCAAAAAAAAAACATTCAGGTATCTATAATTCATTTGATTATTTTTACACACAGAAATACAAAAAAAAATATAGAAAAAAATTGAACACATCTATAATTCTATATTTACACCACTATTAGAAATATGAATAAGATTTTGGAACATTCATTTGATTAGAATACTCATTTTTAAATTTAGTCTATATTTAATTGTGAGGTTTAAATTGTAAATTGAATTACTACTTTTCACATTATTCAATTCCCTCTATTTAAATCTTACATTTTTTTTTTGGTAAATGAACAAAAAAAACATTACAAAAAGAAGAGTCTAGCCAATCTCATAAGACTGTCAATGATACTTAAAACTTCATAACTTTTTCCGATTATTACATATTTGGATGAGGTGTTTATCATCATTATCATCATCATCTAGAATTGCCATGTGCAAAGAACATGCACACTTACTAGTCAAGTAAAAGAGCCTAATAATATCTAACATGAGGAATTGGAAAATGACAGACACACATTCTGGGAAGGGAACCGAGTTGCTGATTGGCTTGCTAATTGTGCTCTTTCAAATCTTAGTTCGATTTCTTATTTGCCTTTCTTTCTTAAGTGTCTTTCTTGTGCTGACATTTGGGGATGGGCTACCCCCCATTGTGTGTAGCTCCTGTTTTGGATCTCTGGTTTATATCAAAAAAAAAAAAGAGCCCAATGCTACACTCTGTTTAATGATGGAACTTGCGAAAAAAAACTTTACAAATAATTTTCCAAAATAAACATTTTACTTATATACAATATTTATTTTGCAAACCAATTTTAAAACAACTTAAAATCTACTACCAGCAGTTTTGCAGTTTTCATCAGAGTATGTTAGGAATATTCTCTTTGTCTCATAAAGCATTAGATCCTATCATAATGATTACTAGCTTAGATATCATTCTGATAATGCTTTAACACACCCACTTATTGATCTCACAAGGACCTCAATGGTTAGTATATTAAAAGTAGACCAATGTTATAATTGACATATTACCATTATCATAATACCTGAATTATAAAAAAAAAATAGTACCATTATCATGTATGTAACTACAAACAACAATCCAATTACTCTACTAATATAAAAACAAGGTACAAGAGCAAAGTGGAAATGGTTTGGCTTAATGTTTCATAAACACTCATACCATGGGGATTTAACTCTAGCATTTGAAAGAAATGCTCCACCATTAATAAGTAGTAGTTTTGTTAGTTGAACCATAATTTGCTCCTAACAGCACATCCCCCAGTCTGTTGGGAACATCACCCATGAATAACAACGAGCCCGAATCTGCTCCTAAACAGGCGCTCCTCACACCAACCTCACAAGACGTCTCAGCCGCACTTCAAGCTACTGGGCTACCAAACAACAATACCCTTCCCTACTGCATCTTCCCCGTACAGAGCGAGCGCGGGAGCGAGAATTTGCGAATGGAGCGAGCAAGCTAGTAAGAGAAAGAAGAGATGGGTGCATTGGGGAAAGTAATGAAGAAGGCGTTGGGAGATATGGGGTTCAACAGGGGTGGTGGAATCATCAACTGGTTCCCCGGTCACATGGCTACAGCTACTCGAGCCATTCGCGACCGTCTCAAGCTCGCAGACCTTGTTATTGAAGTCCGTGATGCTCGTGTTAGTTCTCTTTCTCTCTCTGTTTATCTGGTTTAGTTCTTGCTAAATGATGTTAATCGTGTCTTCTGTAAAAAGAAAATATCTTCTCTCCACCTCAAACTATTTCAGGCGATTTCATCACTGATAGTTTTTTTTTTCTTCTAGTAAAATTACTCTTAATCCAAGTATTTTATTTGTGATTATTTTGTTGTTTTTCCTTGTGGAAAACAGATTCCTTTATCTTCCGTGAATGAAGATCTCCAACCTGTTCTTTCCAGCAAAAGGCGTGTAATTGCTCTCAATAAGAAGGATTTGGCCAATCCCAATATAATGCAAGTAAGCAGATTTTTTCTACTCATGATCGTTTGATATTGACAGAAGTGATCAACCCAACTTTAGCTTCAGCCATTATGGAGCTTCCTAAAAAGAAAAAGTAATAAATCATTCAGTTCAGTCACTTCATTTGTTATCAAACGAGCCTTTAGTAGTTGAGAAGATAAAATCAAGCTTTTTCAGTGAAAATTACCTAGTAGTTTTCCTAATCAGCAGATTTAATTGTTGAGCATATAGAGAACCTTGAATGTGGCAAATGTAAGGAGTTTCTTGAAGTTGCGTTTTGCAACTTACCCCTTTAGGATTTGTGAAGTTAAAGCCATTTTTGTCTCCACTATGACAATATGTTCTCAAATTTGTTGCTTCTTCAGTGAATATTACCCTGTGCTGTGCTTTTTGCAGAAATGGATTCAATGTTTTGATTCACACAAGCAAGATTGTCTTTCAATAAATGCACACAGCAAGACTTCTGTCAAGAAGGTTAGTTGATTTTTAATATGGTTCTGTTATACTAATCTTTTGGCTTATTATTTTATTTATTTTTAACATGGCATGAGACACATGCAAGATGTTATTTTTTTTTCTTTGCTGCTTTTCTTTTTCTTATTGTGACCCCCAACAAAGAAATGGCTATCCATGGGCAGCTCTCTCCTTTTAGTTCTTAATATGGAAAGTAGGATTGCAAAATGTGTAAAGTATATGCTGTTTGAATTCACAAATCTTCTGCTCCTGTTTCTGTGTCATTTATACATACTGATTTAGTGTTGCATTGTAATTGACAACAAGCACCACTTGCTATCTCAGGAAGTTTGTCTATCAACATAGAATTTTGAAAATGATTTCACTAAAGTCACCTTGAATGAGGACAAATGCCCTTCTTTCTTTTACTTTACTTTCTAAGAATATCTAAGTTTATTCAGATTTGAGATGATGTTCTTTGAAGTCCCTAGTTTCTGTTAAAAGGTTAAGGATTGGTGGGCAAGTGTAGATGCCTCAGCCACTTTTGTTCCGAAGGTAAAATTTGTCAAGTTAAGAATAAAGGAGTGGAATGATATTGACTTTGGGAGTCTGTAGTCGCACAAGGAAAGGACCCTAACTATAATCTCAAAGTTGGATGTGAAGGAAGCTTGCAGTAGTCTTTTGCATGTTGTGCCACATGGAAGAAGTGTCTTGGCATTAGAAATCTAGGGTGTTATGGTTGAAAGAGGGGGATAAAAACACCAAGTTCTTCCACTAGATGGTTCGTGGCAGAGCACTATCACTACAATCAAGGTGAATGAGAGGCTATTGGAATCTCAAGAGGAAGTGAGAAATGGGATTGTAGCTTTTAACAAAGATCCTATGCGGAAGGAGAGGTAATTAGGCCACAGTTAGATGGTGTTATTTTTTATTAGCTTGGAGACTTGGACAGGGATTGGATTGAACGAGATTTTTGGGAGGGTATGGACTGCACTTTAGGAGCTCAATGGGGACAAAGCCCTGAGCCCCAATGGCTTTCCAATAGGTTTCTACACTAAGTGTTTGGATTTTTTGAAGGCAGACCTGCTGCTGGCAGCGAAATATTTTTAGAGAAATGATTTATCAAAAAAAATATTTTTAGAGAAATGCTAAGCTGTTTCAAGGTGCAAAATCTAACTTCATCTGCTGACTAGGGGTGATCATGGGCCGGGTCAGGCTGGGCCTGGGCTGGGCTTTGCACCTATTATAAGCTATACCCGGGGTCCAGGTCTGGCTCGACCCAGGTTCCAGGCCTGAAACATAAGCCCAAAGGCCTGGGTTGGGCTGGGCCTGATTCTGGGCCTATGTCTTTTATGTATAAAATATTACATATGCATAATATTTTACATTATATATATAATATGCACACAAAATTTATTTTATATATTATATAATGTAAAATATTGTATAAAACATATGTTGTAAATGGTACATTATAATATTTATATATAAATAATACAATGTGGCATCAAATAACTTGTGTGCATATATATATATAAAATATATATAATACATATAATTAAATATATGGGGGCTTGAAGTATTAGACCCAAGTGCGGCCTGGGCCTGAACAAAAACCTAGGCCCAAACTCAGAATTTCTGAGCTGGGCCGGGCTGAAAATGATCACCCCTACTGCTGATCTCAAAGATTTCTGTCCAGTCATTCTCATTAGAAGTTTCTATAAGATTATCTCTAAGCTGTTGGCAAACCATTTGAGGATAGTTCCTCAGACTTTCCAGTGGCTGACTTACTAAGAAATTGGAAAGAGATAGCTACCTCTGCTTTGCGTAAGAGGACTCCTAGTCCCTCATGGTCCCCTCCTCCCTCTGGATTTATAAAACTGAATTTTGATGGCAGTAGTTTGAGGAACCCAGGGCCTTCTGGGATTGGGGGAGTTTTCAGGAATGAGGAAGGGGATGTTATTTGCATTGTTCTCAGGCCCCATAGGGGAAGGAGAATCTATTAGGGCTGAGATCCTTGCAGCTCTGTAAGGAATTCAAAGAGCAAGGGAACTAAATATCAGATGTTTGGGGTGGTGATTAGCTGGCTGAAGGAAGAGGACAGTGGCTTGTGGAGCTATAACAATGAAAAGAAAATATTCTGTTGGTTGGGCAGAGACATTGAGATACAATATAGCTGGGCGAAGAGGACTGCTAACTCATTTGCAGATGGGCTGGCCAAGCAGGGGGTGAATAGGGAGGTTATCTTTTGGGCTAATTTTTAATTTTATGTCATTGCTTTCTGTTGATGGGGAGTTAAGACTTTTTACCTCCCCTATTGTATCTAAAGCTTCATAAATATTCACATCATTAATAAAGTTTTTTGTTACCGATAAAAAAAAACCATTTGAGCATAGTCTTAGGGAAATTGGTTCTACCCTCTCAAGGAGCTTTTGTGGATGGGAGGCAAATCCTCGGTGGGCTTCTTATTGCAAATGAATGCATTAATTCCCACTTATGGCAAAGTATGCCAGGTCTCCTCTGCAAACTTGACTTAGAAAAAGCCTATGATCATGTTCATTGGCAATTTGTTGACTATATTTTGAGGAGAATGAGCTTTGAGTGCTCTGGAGGTGTTGGATCTTTTGCTGCATTTATGATCCTATGTTTTCAATCATCACCAATGGAGCTTCAGAGGGGTATTTTAAGGGTCAGCAAGGACTTGGGCAATGCGACCCGCTTTCTCCCTACTTTTCTCACTTGTAGTGGATCCACTGGGGAGACTGATTAACAAGGCAGTTGAAGTAAGACAGCTTTAAGGGTTCTCAGTAGGGTTGGGGGAGGGGTGTCAGTGACTTTATTACAATATGCTGATGACACACTTTTGATATGTTTTGAGGCTGCTTCGGGCTTGAAAGTGAATTTAAGATAGAGCCATATTATTCCCGCGGGAGAAGAGAAGATTCTTGTCCACTAACCCAGAGTGTTTTGTCCAGCTTGCCAACCTACTATCTTTCTTTGTTTTCTTTGCTGGCGTCAGTGGCCAAAGTGCTGGAGAAGTTGCAGAGGGATTTTTTGTGGGAGGGGGTTAACGAAGAAATGAAAGTTCATTTGATTTCTTGGGATATGGTTTTTGAACCCAAGGAGAAAGGTGGGACAGGTACGAGACTTGAGAGTTGAGACTTATGAATGATTCTCTTCTTTGTAAATGGCTGTAGAGATATGGGCAAGAAAGGTCTCATCTGTGGTGGTAAGTGATTGAAAGCAAGTGTGGAAGAGTACCAATGGATTGGATTTCTCTTGAGCCTCAACAGTCTTATGGCACTAGTGTGTGGAAAGGAATCATGGCTAGCCTGCCCAAGTTTCAAAAGAACATCAAATTCAAGCCTGGAACAGGGGATGCTATTTCCTTTTGGAGATACTCTCGGTGTTCCGGTCAACTTTTTTGTTATTTATTCCCTTCTTTTGTAATCACTTTTACCAAGGAAGGTGCGGTTTGCAATTATGTGGATTTAATCAATGAACAGGTGGTCTGGTCTCCTACTTTCTGAAGGAATTTGAATGATTGTGAGATCCCCTCTCTTTTGGATTTGATGCCAAGCTGCAAGGTTGAGATTGTTCCAGGATCATGAGATGTTCAGCTTTGTGCTGGAGATGAGAATGGGTTGTTTTCTACTAAATCTTGTTATCATGTTTTGCTGGGTCCTTGGATTTGGGAGTCTGAGGTGCCTACAAATGTTTTTTTTGTGTGTGTGGCTAGCTGGAAGAGATAGGATTCAAATGGTTGAGGCTTTAGTGAGATGGGGCATGGAGTTGAACGGCATCTGTTGCCTTTGGGGTGTGGGCTCAGAATCTGTTCACCATCTGCTACTCCACTCCTTTACCTATCAACTTTGGTGTCACTTCTTTCAGCTGTTCCGTGTGCAATGGGTTCTTCCTACTTTGATTGAGTTGTTATCTTCTTGAGGATGTGGACCTTTCGTGGCGAGGGGGATTCTTTGGAATTGCTTGCCATTTGCAATCTGTTGGATCGCTTCGAAGGGAATTGCAGAGTTTTTTTAGTCCAAATTGGTTCCAGTTGAAGCTGTCATTAGCAAGGTGGAATGGACCTTGATGAGATGGGCTAGTGTTTCAAGACTTTTTGAGGGAACTTCAGCCGATTCTTTCACTGACAATTGGATCTCCGTCATTTTTTGATTTATTGTATAAATGTATAGTGAGCTGCATTTAAATGCTTCTGTGCATATTATAAGCACTCTTTTTGTATATGCTGAGGGCTTCTTTCTCTTTTATGGTTGTTTTAATACAATCATCTTAACCACTTATAAGAAAAGAATATCTAATGGCTTGATGTGACTATTTGCATAGGTTTTGTTTATGGATACTTATGGTCAGGAGAAGTTCATCCCTTTACGATCTATACTCTGTATTCCTAATTTAGTCTCTATGAAAAGAATGGGCAGCTTTTCCATCTTCTATCTTGTTGAAATAAAGCCTTGACCTTGGTTTTGGATTTTGAAGGGATAGAAGAATGATATAATTGTATTGATCCAACTGAGTATTGTATTAATATATGTGGAAAAATTACAATGCTCTGCACAATGAGCCAATGTGCAGGACCTACTCCAATCTGAACAGATTATTCTTTCTAATCAGATACAAAGAGTCCCACTATCTCAAAAAAAAAGGAATCATAAGGGACATTTTAAAATCTGCCATGACGTGCATACCTAGAATGAATTCTTCCCCATGCATATGTTGTAACATTTCCTTCTGAGTTAAAGTTTGTTCTCCAAAATTCTTTATTTTCTTTCAGTCCATAAGGACTAAAATACAGATGAAAAAAGTACACAACCTGAGGATGCAAAATTGCTCTTCTAGTGATGGAAACTAACTACTAGTTTTCTGTTGTCAAGATCGTATTCAAGTGCCCCCAAACAAATGACTATGTTATACTTCGTCAATCTAGCACTCTGAAGTGTGCCAATTACTATTATGTGATTGAGGAACTTCATATAATTGTTGTCACACAGTAAATTGATTAAGACAACCCCTCAAGGATGAACCAGAATGAGGAGTGCAGAGTCCCATCCTGATAGGCCCTCAACTACCCATTCGGGCCCATGCCAGGAGACCCAGGCCCAAGACACTCAGCAACCAGGCCCTGCACGAGAGAAGCACCTGATCACCCGTGTGCAGCCTTCACTGAGGTTCGTTTACGTGAGGAGGCATGTCCCTCCAGTTAGTTACCAGTCGCAGTCGAATCCATGTGCAGGAGAGGGGAGAGTATAAATAATTGTAAACCTCGTCTGTTAGGCAAGAAAGAAAACCCTACTATTCTCCTCCCTTCTTCTTCCTCTTCTCCTTCTTCCATCCTCTTCTTCCTCTCTTCTAATCTGTTTCAGGAAGGTGAGCTCCCTCGAACCAGCTCAGAGTTATAGAATTCTAAACGGATCTATCACATCCCCTAACCCTTTCTGATTTAAAGAATCATCTGAATAATACATTACTAGAATTCAGAAGTGGGAAGATAAAATGAAGCCCCATATGGTCTTATCTACTATCTCCATCTAGTCTCAAACCTGATTCCTCAATAACAAGATTTATGTTTTCTAGTTTCTGGAATTACTTTTAAACCAATATTATATCGTTCTATGCTAGCTGTATATTCTTCTGAATTGTGGTCTATTTGTGAAAGCTACTTGAACTTGTGGAGCTGAAATTGAAGGAAGTGATTTCAAGGGAACCCACTCTCCTTGTTATGGTGGTCGGTGTGCCTAATGTAGGGAAATCAGCTCTTATTAATTCCATCCACCAAATTACCTCTGCTCGTTTTCCTGGTAATATTTTGTTGGGCTTCTCAATACTGGTAACCATTATTAGGAGGTTGTATAAGCAATATGTCAGTATTTTCTATTGTGAAACAACACATCAAGCATGATTGGTTGGAGAATTTTTTCATAGTGCAGGAGAAGATCAAGCGAGCTACCGTGGGACCTTTGCCGGGTGTAACTCAAGATATTGCAGGATATAAGGTAAATTTCATCATGTTTTACTTTTTAATTTGATCCACAGCAACCTACTTCTGGCTTTCCTTCTTTCCTTCTTGTTATCTCTTTTTTTTTTTTTTTTCAATCTTTTGTTTTATATTTTACAGTCGTTAGCTTTATATCATAATAAATATTGAGTCATGAGCATAGCATTGTAGTTTCTGCAGATACTGTTAATCCTTTGTTTTGAAGATCAATAAAAAAGAAAATTTATTAAGAAAAAGAGGGAAGAATACAAATAGGTGATACGGCATCACCTCCCAAGAGAAACAAAAACAGGCACCCTTTCTCTCCCACTAATCCCACAAACTACAATTCAAAACCCAAACGAGAAACCTCAAAATTACCCACAAAAAACCCAAGGGAAACAAAGCAAAACAAAACTCACCATAACCCCAGCTCTCCATTCCAACAACCAAACCTAGAGGCTCCACCCACTAAACTGAAAAGCCCCCCCAACAAATATGCAAAAAAACAAATCATGCTAAATCTTTATAGATTGAAACAGGAATCTCTTTGATTTTCTTTATAATTCTTTTTGTCTTCTTCACCCTCTTGTTCACAAATGATCACCCCTTCAATCTATACAAAACTTTTGACACCAGAATAGTCCAATTATTTCTTTGATGCCTGAATCTTCTTACTGCATTTGGATGAACCTCAATATTTTCTATCATCTTAACATTAGCATTGATCCTATCTAACTCAAATACAGCGTTCTTCTTAAACACTTGCTCTGCTGCCACCTCAGCACCCTTCTTCAAAACAGCCCTTGCAACTTTCATTGAAATACATCAATATTCCTCCACAATGTTTCTTACAATTGAAACATCCCCTTCGGGTGTCAAATTATTCTTCTTTCTACCTTTTGAAGGCCCACCAGGCATTTCTTCCACCTCCTTAAAAGACTTCCTTGTGATTTCCTCTCACCCAAGAAAGAACAAACCTAGGGTTTTGCTTTTTTTCTGACCAATAACATCAAATTTCATTAACACAGAAAAAAAGATTATAAAGAGGGAAAAATAAAGGCCCTGTTTGGCGCATCTTTCCGCGTGGGTTGTCGGCTTTTTAGAAGCCCGACAGCCCACACTTTCATCTTTTCCTGTTTGGTTGGGAAAAGATCTAGCCGCCAAAAGCCGCAGCCCCGAAAAGACGTGGGAAACCTGTTTTGGGCTATTTTTGGGAAGCTCCAAATGGAGTTTTTTTTTTCAACTCTTCTTCACAAAGAAAGATGCGCAAAGAGCCATGCCTTAACCAAATGGTCTTCAAGCTGCTAAGATCTTAATGCAAAAGCTCACATCGTCTTTTGACTGTCAGGTCTGCCAGAAGATCTTCTGAAAAAGACTTGCCAAACGGCCCCAAAATCTCTTTACTATCCCCAAATTTTATGAATAAAGTTACAATTGAGCCCAAAACAACTGATTTCTTCCCACCCTTGTTTTGCCAAAGCATCATCAAAACCATTAGCTTTCTTTTAACTTAATTAACTCTTACATCCATGCCTCATGTCAACCATTTAAATTTCTTCCTTTCATTTGCTGTAGTTTCACATTGTGGCTCTTTCCTTTTGTAACCAACCCACCACTAACTTTGAGTCTCCTTCTATAATCAACTTATTGATGTTCATCTCCTTTGCTTTTTGCACTCCTTCCATCAGAGCCAACATCTTATCCCTTAGTGAATCCCTTACACCTATTGGTCCAGAGAATATACCAATAATGCTGCCCTCCTTGTTTCTAAAAACACCACCTATACCTGAGGGACCTGGATTCCTTGCACTACTCCCATCAAAGTTCAGCTTAGTGAAGCCATCCTTCCATCAAAGCCATCTTAGCACTCAGTGAAACTCCTACACCCATTGGTCTAGAGAATATGCCAATAATGCTGTCCTCATTTCTAAAAACACTACCAATACCTGAGGGACCTGGATTCCCTGCACTACTCCTATCAAAGTTCAACTTAGTGAAGCCATGCGTTGGTGGGGACCAACCAAGACTTAATACAAGCTTATGACTATCTGAACTTGCCACCTCCTTCCAATTTCTCATAATATTTTTTTTTTGATAAATGAATGGTAATTTTATTAAGAAGAGAAGAAAGTGTACAATCACCTTAAGAGGAGGTACGGTATATTACCTCCCCTTAGAAATGAGAATATGATCACACTCTTAACAGAAATACAATTATAAGGTAGCCCAGAACAATTCACCTCTTGGTACCCCCTTGTTTAACCGAATCAGCCATGGCATTTGCTGATTTGCTAACACATTGAATTTAATTGTCATGTTCCTTGTAAGCCAATTAACTTTCTTGAGAAGATCCCTGTAGTCCCCCTTAACTATCAAGTGCTCCACTCCAAGTTGGTTTTTAATTTGTATTCCTTGCACTGTAGCCAGTATCTCAGCCCTTGTAGAGTTCACAACTCACACTGGTCCTCAAAATAATGATAATCCTTATCTCTCAGAATCCCTCCTATACCTGAGAGCCCTGGATTACCTTTACTACTCCCGTCAAAGTTCAACTTCACCACTCCTTTTGAGGAGGTATCCATTCTGCTTTGTAATCTATTCATTTTAGAGGATGTGGATCCCACTTCTGCCCAGCTTTTCTGAAAATCATTAGAGGAAAAATTCGCAAAAAGATATGAAGTTTTCAACCAAAGAATTGCCTTTGTCAATAACCAATGTGCACTCCTTTACTTCAGCTAGGCTTCTTTCCTTTTCTTGGAATATTCTGGCATTCCTCTCCTTGCAAATAGTCCACAAAATAGCTGCTCTGACACACTTCCACATTAGTTCTCCATGGAACTATCCTAACAGTGAAGGAGCCACTCGGAGTCATAATATCACTGAAAAATCAGCAAATAACTAAGGATTTTGCCCATTGCACTATCCTAACAGTGATGGTCTCAACAATGGCCTCTTTTCTTCTTTCTTTTTTCTGTAAATACCCTTGCATTCCTTTTCTCCAAAATGGTCCAGACTATGGCAGCTCCTACACAACTCCACAACAATCATCCCTTCTTTGCCAACTAAAGAATGCCATGGCAAACAAACTTTGCACATTTGGTAGAGTGAAGAGGAAGGGTAAAGGGTCCTTTTGTCTAATTCCTCTCAAAGTTGAAAGAAATCCACCACATTTCCATTCACCAATAGAGAATAATGATAAGTCTGAATACATCCCTTTATCCACTTGCACCATCTCTCCTCAAAACCAAAGCTTCTCATCACTTTTAATACAAAGGACCAATCCACTATATCATAAGCTTTCTCCAAATCCAATTTAAATAAAAAATCTATTTTTTCCTTTCCTTTTCTACTCCTCCACGCTTTCACTTGCAATTAAAATTTTATCAGTGATTTGTTTATTCTTTATCCCTTTATCCACTTGCACCATCTCTCCTCAAAACCAAAGCTTCTCATCACTTTTAATAGAAATGACCAATCCACTATATCATAAGCTTTCTCCAAATCCAATTTAAATAAAAAACCTATTTTTTCCTTTCCTTTTCTACTACTCCACGCTTTCACTTGCAATTAAAATTTTATCAGTGATTTGTTTATTCTTCACGAAGGCCCCTTGATTTAGTGAAATAATACTGGGAAGAGCAGCTCTAATCCTTAGAGATGGAACCTTAGCCATATATAAGCTATTTACCAAGCTAATGGGCCTAATCTCTAGCATGCAAAGCATCAGACTTTTTAGGCTCCTGAGCAATGAAGGTTGAATTCAATCTTGGATTTATTATTCCTTTCCCAAAGAATTGATTGAAAACTTCTTGCAAGTCCTCTTTCAAGATTTCCCAATAATCTTAGTAGAATGCCATTGTGAACCTATTTGGCCCAAGAGCTTTACAACTTTCCATGGAAAACACTACCTCTTTTATTTCCCCCAGCTAAAACTTCCTCTCCAACTAAGCTTTAACCTCATTTGTTAACCTTGACCATTCTAACCCTATCAACCAAATCCTATTGTGCAAAGGTCTTCTGAAAATAGATTTGAAGTGTTCTTTAGAAGCCATATCTATCTCATTTTGCTGCTTAACTGTTACACCATCCACCACTAAAGCAGATATATGATTTTTCCTCCTTTTGTCATTAGTTATTACATGAAAGAACTTTGTATTTTTATCACCCTCCTTTACCCATTTATGTTTTAATTTTTGCCTCCAGCTAGTTTTCTCTTTATATAGTATATCCTCTAATCGTTTCCTCAACTCCCATCTAACTTCTTTCTCCCTTTCCTCAAAATTCTCCCAAACTTCCTTGTCATCCAACTCCTCTATTTGATTGATCACCGATTGCTTCCTTTCTTCTAATCTCCTAAAATGTTGAATATTCCACTGATCCACTCTTTAATTTTAGCCTTTAGATCCTGCAATTTCATTGCATTCCACTTTATCCTTGGATTACTTTCTCCCACTACTCCTTAATCTTTTGCCCAGACTCTGGATGATTGGTACTCTCCTTCCTTGTTCTTCCTTAAAGATGAAAATTGGCCAATGATCAGATGTTACCCTTGGCAGAAATCTTGAAACTAAACCTCTCAATGCACCTCCCAATCCATTGAGAATAATAATTTATCCAATGCTGAATAAATCGGGTTCGCTTGGAGGGGACCAGGTAAAACTACTATGTGTGAGAGGCAATTCCTTAAGTTCAAATGTTTTTATAAACTGATTAAACCTGCTCATACTAGTAGTGATACCTTGTTTATTGTTATTTGTCTGCTCTAAGAATCTAATGACATTGAAATCCCCTCCTATACACCAAAGTCCCTCCCACAATCCTCTAGTATCTCCCAACTCTTCCAACAATTCATTTCTCTCCCTATACCCATTAGGTCCATAAATATTTGTTAACATCCATTCAAAACCATCTTCCACTTGTTTGAATTTTATAGAAACTGTAAATTTTTCCACTAACTCTTCTATTCCAACCACCACCTTATCTCCTGATAATGTCACTATGCCTCTTGAGGACCCC